GGGTTCGTCCCGCATCTCTGCCGGTGAGGGAGCGCTCAGCTCTCCCAGCGACGGGACGGGTGGGTTTCGCTGTGCAAACTGCACTTGCTGGGGGCTCGGCAGAGGTGCCCCGCGCTGCGTTTTTCAGCACTTGGTGCGCTTAGCTAACGGCTGCCTTGGGAGGGCTGGGTATCTCGAATTCTCCTGTATTCTGGCATAATCCAGCCCTGGTGTTGCCAGGTTGCTGAGCAGCTGCTGTCTGAGCACTGGAAGAAAAACAACGCTGAGCTCCGGGAGGTGATGTTACTGTCTTTTTAGTCCCTGCTGCCTTGCATTTATTAAGCCAGTTTTTAACTTGAATGCCATCATGTATCAACCGTTGTCATTCATCTTGAATCACAGCAATTGTCCTAAGTTCTGATAAGCAAAAGGCAAAGAAGAAAATGGCTTAACTGTCTAAGAAGTCCCCTCAAAGCTGGTATTTTTCAAAAACAGTCAGAAATCTGTGCTGACACTGAGAGCAGATTCTCAGTGCCCCTGCTGTAAAGATCTCGGGTGCTTTTTAAAGCTGTTCCTGCCGTGTCCTTGGCGGTTCCTTATTCTTTATTCCACCGACCTGCTGCGCTAGCCGCCACAGCTCTGCTCTCAGTGTCACTGTAGTGTTACCCAGAACTGGCATGTGACATTGACCCTCAGCTTGTGAGCTGGTGAGCACCGAGGACACCCAAACGAGCCTGCCTCTGCAGAGGCAGATCCTGCTGGGACTTCAGGGCTACAGCTGGGGCAGGAGGAGCTCTGGACGGTCTGTCTAGATCCTGGGGGACAGGAGAGCCCCTGGCACCAATGGCATCTGTTGTCGTCTACAGGTGGGGTCAGAGCTGCACAGGAACCACGTGACAGAGGCTTGGGGCGATCAGCTAATGCAAAAAACCAAGGTACGCTGGGGTAGCCCTGGTGTTACTGGTCGCTAGGGCAGACTCCTGAAACGCGCGAGCAGGTGGAGTGTGACACTATGCGCCTTTTGACCCGGCTGGCAGACAGCTTACCTTCCTCTACGGACACGGCTTGGGTGTGGAAGGAATAGGAGTTGGCTCTTTGTTCATCTTTCTCACACCGGTCTTGAACCAAATAATGCCTGAGGTCGCCTTGCTCGTTCCCGTGGCGATGGGGAGTTCTGGTGTCCGCAGAATGACGGGAGCTGCTAACAGGAAGGATGCTTTTAATGAAAAGCCATCGTTCCTGTCTAACAAGTACACACTCTCTGTCTGCTAGAAAATCCAGTGCTATCTGCTGAAGAGATCCGTTGCAGGATTCAGTGTGGCACTGGGTGCTCGTCTAACAGCGACCTGCAGTGCAGAGCCAGTGCAAAGCTGCAAGAGCTCAGTGTTTGAATACGCACATACTGGATATGGGAATACAGTGATTTTGATGTGAGAGAATAATAAAGGCCTTCAAATACAGATTTCAGAGTTAACTAAAACAATAGTCTATGTTGTAATAGGAAAAACTGAGTGTATTTTTAAGGCCACCTGGGCTTAGCATCAGACCTGTGCAGGGTCCTGCGAAGGATGTGTACAGACTGAGAGCCATTTTCAGGCAGCGATCAGCAGATAGTTTTGCTTTGTCCTTGTGTTCCTTCCTAGCGTATTTTGTTCCATATTTTCCCAATACGTGTCAGCTTGCAGGAATTTGGTTTGTGGATCTCCTGAGCCAGAGGCTGTTTCTTTGCGTTAGCCTAACCTTAAATGCCATGCTTTCTTTTGGCTCGGAAAGCAAGAAGCAACTGAACTTGAAGAGAAAAAACATTATGAAAATGAATATGAAATTGTGCGAAGGGGAGCGCTGGAAAGAATGAGACAAGAGGAAGAGGAGCGCCGGCTGGAGGAGAAGCAAGCAGAGACGTTGCTTCAACAAATAGAGGAACTGAAATTACAGGAGACAGAGGTAATCTTTAGTTTCTCCTCATTTGAGAAGGAAATGATAGAATCATTAAGGTTGGAAGAGACCTCCAAGATCATCGAGTCCAACCATCAACCCAACACCACCATACCCACTAAACCATGTCCCTAAGCGCCTCATCTACCCGTCTTTTAAATACTTCCAGGGATGGTGACTCAACCACTTCCCTGGGCAGCCTCTTCCGGTGTTTAAATTACAGGTGAGTGAGGTAATCTTTAGTTTCTCCTCATTTGAGAAGGAAATGCGTTGTTTCACTTGGAAATACACCTGACCTCTTCCCTCCAGGTTTCTACTAGATTAAATCTGGAACAAAGTTAGTTGTGACATAATTTCTGTTAGTAATGTAGACCTCCCCCGTGAACACTGGCATATTAACTGCGTTCCGGTAGGTTTGTTTGCTCCTCTTGAAATGCGAACACCCTTCTGTGCTGCACCAGATGAGAAAAAGATTTACAGAAACTTCTAAGTGTGACAGGTTCGGGTCAAAGGCTTTTTCAGCTGGGGCTTCTCACAGTGTCTCTTGAGCTGTGAGCCACTGAGCCGCAAATTAAATTAATGCGGAATGTTTGCTGCAGTGAGGATTTTGACTGCTTGCAGAGGAGCAGAACGGGGTACAAACGCTCTCTCTGGGATGTCGTAGCTATCTGACTTACTCTTTCTTGGTTGTTTTTTTCCTTTTAGGCAACAAAGCTGAAAAAAGAACAAGAGAATTTATTAAAGCAGCAGTGGGAGCTGGAGAACTTGGAAGAAGAAAGGAAACAGCTGGAAGAGCACCGGAAGAAGAAAGAGCTTGGGTATGAGATTGAGCGTAGCTTGTTTCAGCAGGGCTTGGACAGAATCTGTTCCTATGTCCGCAATAGCACTTGCGGCACGAGGAGATATTTCAGATGGCAGCGGTGGGTTGTAAATACTTGGTTTTTGATGGAAGCGCCCAGAACAGCCAATGAGCAAACACATTGGTGCCGTTACTTCTTTTTGTTCATGTTAGCAGTAGCAGATACCTCTGTTGCCTGTAAGTTACGCTGTCATGGATGTACCTTCTTGAGTGCTGGTGTGTAATAACATAGGGCTTTAGAGTCAGTTTGAATGTTGTTTTTTTTTTCCTCCTTCAGTCGCTTTTTGAGGCATCAGTGTAATGCCCAGCTAAAGAGACGAGCCCAGCAGATACAAGAGGAGCTGGTAAGAGAAAGTACCCCTTGATTTATACGTTATGGGTACTGTGTGCTGAAGAAACTTGTTCTTTGTGTTTCGTTTATGTGTCTGCCTCTGATGACTACAGAGAATTGGTTAGGAAGCCCCTTCCAGCTTGTGAACAGGGCTGAAGCAAAAAGATCATGGGGAAGCCAGCAGGCTGAGCGTCTTCCTGAGCGCACCCTTGGCACGACATCACCATAATTTGTAGAGAGTAGCCCTGCACACAGGCTGGAAGCCTGTTGGATAGTTGATAATCTTGTGGTTTTTTTCAAGGAGATAGACAGGCAAATCTTATTAGCCCTCCTCGAGAAAGAAGATGAGGATCAGCGCCGCCAGTCCGCACGGCGAGAACGAGCCGTTGCAGATGTTGCCTGGATGAAACATGTCATTGAGGAACAGCTCCAGTTAGAAAAGGAGAGGGAGGCAGAGCTGCAGACTGTTTTTAGGTGAGTCTGCCCACCTCTGAACGTCATCTAAAGAGACCGCGTGTGCTGAATGTTCCGGCCCGGCTGGTAGAGCTCCATTCGTGTTTGTTAAATAAGCTTTGAAAGCGGTCGTTAGAAAGCGGTGTCCGGTTGGCCTCGCAGTTCTAGAAGCACTGCGGTAGAAGTGAGCTCTGCCCCCTCGTTCCATGTGCTGCGTACCGTGCTAGACGGTCAGCATGCCAGTACAGACAGACCCGAAGCTTTTCTGCCAGGACAGAATCAAAGCCTGCGGTTGTTTTACAATTACTTCGACCCAACACCTAGTCCATAATTTCTGTTACATTAGCTCTAATGCAACAGCTTTAATAACAAAAAAAGGTAGTAACACAGAGACAGCAAGAATTACCTTTTAGTTGTAAGTACTTTGTAACCAGCTTTCAATGATCCTGCATTACTGATGTGGAAGGGTTTAGTCTAAGTGACTCCAAAACCTGCATATTGTTTCCTTTTGTATCTCAGAGCTTGTACATAAAAGCTGCCTC